AAGTCCAGAAAAGACTGGCCAATCATGAAGGAGAAAATGCAGGCTTTGGTTGGATCACTGAAGAGAGAAAACAGAATGAATTATCTTTAAAGGTTGACATTTACATAAGAGGAAAATACTGGATTGAGATAACACTTTATCTTTCGTAATTTAAGTTGTATTTGAACGGGAGTGAAATGTTGATGTCTAACAGGGCGTTGTTTTTTTTTCTTACTTTATAGAAGATAGCAAAAAGCCATGTTGTCACCCAGTCTTGAGGGCTATTTTTGGTCATTCACTTTTTGACAGTCACCCAGAGGTGAGGGGATGCGTGATAAAGCAAACGAACAATCAAAAAACGAACCTATTCTCCACCCACTTCACAGCTAGAGTCCGATCCAGAACAATGCAAAAGAAATCACGTGGACAGGTGAATTCGTGCTCTTGGGGCTTAGGTGGCGGATTTTGCATTTGAAGGCGCCTCTGACGATTATGAAGGTACCGTTCTTTGTTCCGATGGAAGGCGGAGGAGGAAGAGGGCGAGGGCGAGGGTGAGGGCGAGGAAGCGGAAGCGCAAGAGGAGGAAGAAGAAGATGAGGATGAACTCGTCGATATTTGTGACAGAGCCGTGGATGAAGTCTTTCCAAGTGGTAATGTTCCTGAACGGGATGCAGAATCCACTGTGTCTTTGGGTAAGCCGAGATTTGGGGTGGGTTGGAGAAGGTATAGATTGAGATGGTTAACAGGGTGAGATGTGGATTCTGCAGTTGTGCTTGATCTACCATCTTCCAACCTTGTAATTGGCACACGAAGTATCGCATAGCATGTACAAATCTAGGCAGTAACGAAAAAGAAAAACATTCTATTGCATTGCATTGCATTGTTGCATCCTATTGCTACTCAAATTTCGACATGAGCAACGTTTTCAAAACCCACGGTAGTTTGTCATTCCACAGAAGGGCTTGGGGCTACAAACAAGTATTTCGAGATCAGACTACTCGATGCAGATGCAAAGAGCGTCGGTTGATGTGACCCACTACCAAAACTGGTAGCCAAACAAACAAATAAAATATCGCACTAGATGCATTGAGGCCTCAAAATGTCCTCCTATTATCCACAATTTGTGGATCAGATTTGTTCTAACGAAATAATTCTAGTGTTCTCTTTACTCTGACGAAGTATTGCAAAACAACCCTCTTTGAGTAATGACTAAGAGTTGCTGCAACGCAGTCTTTATACATTTAGAAATTGGATCGATAAAATCGACTGCTGCCGCATCACTCCGTTATCGCATTGTGCTGACCTTGAAATCCACCAATCAAATGCTTGCCTTTTGGAACGATCAATTTTACAATGGAGTATTGGAATGGCGAGGACTTCGTTCTTTTCCATTTAAGTTTGAAATAATTTGTTTAAATTAAATTAAAATGTCCTCTCCACTTTGTGAACTACACAGTACATTCATTTAAACTTCCTTTCAGCTCAGTTCATTCACAGAAAACCTTAGTACAAAATGGGATAGAATTCCATTTCGGAAGTGTTGGCTTCTCCAGAGGAAAAAAGATATTTTGGGAAAATGCTTTATACACATTACTTAAGGTCGGATCGCTCATTTATTAACAGGTGAACCCGATAAGATAATCGAAACTCTTTGGAGTAAGCCTTCTTGTGACAACTTTGTCACCCCTCTAATCAGAATGATGCAAAATGTGCTTTGGCATTTCTCTATGTTGTTGTGCCTCCAGTAGGTTGGAACACGGTGAATTGCAATTAATTACCTTTATCATAATGTCCTATTCACCAATTGTTGTCGATTCATTTTACGATCGTGTTGCATATCTTTTAACCCAATCACAGGATGGCTAAAGTTCCCACCTTTAGGCCGTTTGATTGTCCATTTAGTGCTCATTCTGTCCCAGTGGATTTACTGCCAAGCGAGGTAAGTTAATGATCTCTGCCTCAAATCCGTTGCTAAAGTTCAGGGAAATAGTGCAATTTGCGTGAGAAAGGAGAACACAAAAGCAGAGGAGAATATCCAAGAAGTGGGATGTGAAAGAGGAGAAAGTTATTCTTTCAAAGCATTTCCGCTGAAAGCTCATTTGACCATATTGGGCTGGGCTGAGCTGGGCTGGGTAGTACGGCTTCTAGAACATGGCGGTAGACACGCCCCGACGCTTGGCTAATCCTGTGGTGCAATTCAGGCCAAGCCTTTTCGATGACCTCAGGGTGCTACATAACCCTATCGCCTTCCGGTGCCTCTTTCGTTGTCAAAATGATGCCATTGTAGATACTAAATAGGTTTCAACTAC